TCGATTTATTTATTTGTTTTTTTGTAGGAATGCAGATTGCCCAATAATTTTTTGGCATTTGCACAAAACTTTTGTGGGTCTTAATTGGCCAAAAGGAAACAAGATTATGAGCTTAGATAGTAGATCATTAGTTGTTATAAGTCAAAAGTTTAAAGCTTGCGTTTTGGCAGCAAAAACGGTTAGCCAAAATTTTTAATCAAGAACGCGAATTCCAGCTAAAATGTTTTATCAACTTGAAAATTTTTTTAAAATTTATATTCCCTTCCATTCCATTTTAATCTACTTAATCAAACAAAACAAAATAATGGGGAACATTAACCTCAGCAACAAGGCTGGTTTTAAATATGCAATAAAAGATCTTAGTCGAGCCACTTTATCAGTTATAATTTCCATGTAAATTAACTGAAAATTAATATCTCACGCCAATAAACCCCGAAACGCACTAAGTAAATAATTATTAAACACAAGAAATTCGGACAAGCGACACAAGCTTGCGATTATTGTATAATAAAACCGGTTGGCCAGCGATTCTTTTATAAATTTTACAATAATTTGCCGTCGACAGGAGATATTGGAGGAGCCGGGGTAGTCGATCTTTACCGGTTTCGGTTTACTGACCTGACCTACATATAATGTACGATACGAGATATAATGAACTCACCTTCGTGCTCACACTTCGCATCGCATCGAGTTTAATATAAATCGCATATTGATCAATTAATTTTATTTGCAGTTCCGCTGGAAATTGACATGCTGACACGGGAGCACTTCAATCGCTGGTACAAACTGGGTCCCTACTTCCTCTCACTGATCTCCTTCGAAATACCCTTCCAGGTAGGCCTTACTTCATAGCCCACAAATAACTATTATAGTATATAAACCGATCAGAATCAGTATCGAAATCGGAATCATTAATCATCATTTAAAACTAAGTTGTCATAGGTGGCTGCTGTGGTTTAATGAATTGCTGTTCGGTCATTAAGTCAAATTAACGACGTGAAATCGCTGATGTTCGAGTTTGAGTTTTATTTGCGTGTCAGAAATCGCGTAAGCTTGACGGCTGCGAACTACCTGTAATTTTGCATTGATTGCTCTTATATTCTGGCTTTCATTTCCCATATAGAGAGAAATTTTAAAAATTATTCTGAGTGCCAAACACAAAGAAATTCCTTTGTTTCTCTTTGAAAATTGACTTATGAAAGGGAATCATTTCTCTGTATATTTTTTGGAATTATGAAAGTCTAAATTCCAAAGGCATTGGTAAGGCATTGGTGTACTTTTTTCTGTATTACGAAACTTTCGAACGAACAAAATGTTCAGTTGAGGTCATTGAGCAATCAAATTATTTTAAAATAGTTTTTTTATGCTAGATGCGGAAACGATTCTTACTAATATGAATAATACCATTAATAGTATTAATATTAAAAAATGTATTTAAAAATGTAATTTAACAAATCCGTAGATAGATTTAAAACAAATTTTACTGTTAAGGTCATTTAACAATGAATTTCATTTAAAAATATTCTTACAGCAAAATTTACAGTTGAGATCATGAAGTATAAATATTATCTTATGCTAGTATTTAAAATTCCAATTACAGAAATGAGAACAGGTCTCACATATCAAATGTACTTTTAAGTAATTAATAACAAACACGAATACTGTCATTAATTATATCAATATAAATTATTAAGGCAATTCAAATTCCTTGAAAATTCAATTTATCATGTCCGTAGATGCTTGAAAAATTCAATTTATCAAGTTCATTTGATATATTCTCCTGATTTTTCCCTGAATTCCTAAGCTAACTTTCTACTTTGTATCCCCTCGCATTATAGAGTCTTTGTACCGCCATGTACATCATCATAAGCGTCCATCTCACTGGCAACGATTCTGTGGATTCATTCCGGATCTATTACTTCATGCTGCTGGGCATAATGGCCTCATTGAGTGCCCAGGCCTGGGGCTTTTTCGTGGGAGCCACGCTGCCAACTAAGGTGAGTTTTACACTCTAATATTTGGATTCCAAAAACAACATAATAATGATTGATCCGCCCGCCTGTCTTAGCTTGCCGTATTTCTGGGACCCATTCTGGCGGTGATGTTCTCCGTTTTTGGATTCTGCACACGATACATTGACATCACGCCCCTTTTCCGATGGATGTGGCATTTGAGTTATTTCCGAGCCGGATTCCATGGGGCCTTGAATGCCATCTACGGCATGGATCGGCCCTTCCTGGAGTGTCCGGAGACGGCGATGTACTGCCATTTCCGTAGTCCAAAGGTTTTCCTCAAGTACATGATGATATCGGATGTGCACATGTCCGATTGTCTGATCCTGATGGGAACCGTGATTCTAGTTATGCACGTGCTGACCCTCATTACCCTTTGGCACAAGCTCAACAGACGATAGGGAATCACTCTTCGATCTTCGAACTTATACATAAGCTCCAGTTTTAATCCCACTGTACATAGTCGGGTGTCTTTAAATCTCTCCTTGTCTTAAGTTCATAACTGAATTTATTGATTTTCACCTTTGTGTTTGTTTTAAATTGATCGACTAGCTTAAGTATTTATTTTATTACTCTTGATATATTGTACACAAGAAGGCTTTAGGGTAGCTCATTCCAGTTTAAGTGCTGATATACCAAAAAAAAAAAACAGAAGGAAGATCAATCATAACACAATTTTTATAACCCAGTTTCCATCTTGCCCTGTAAACTTCATCAACTGAGTTTGGGTTTTCCCACGGGATATCCAAGCGATGCCAAATCTTGATAATTCATCTACGCTCATAAGGTCCGCAACAAAGATACATTTGTGATCAACATTTTCTTTTGTCTCTTTGGTGCATAGTTTTAGTTTTAGTTTTATGTTCGAACTATTTGTATATGGCAGAATATGTTTAGTTTTTGTGTAGCAAATGTTTTATTTTACTCTGATTTCGTAATAAATTGTTTGGTAAAATTGATCTTTAATGTTTTCTATTATGATTTGTGGACATTTTTGTTGCTGGAATCTAAGAACAAATTTCCTGAAATAAGGGTTACTCGAAAATGTACTAATAGTTCCTGAAATCTAAACAAATATGAATTAAAAATATATATAAGCTTCAAAAGATGATGTATATTTGTTTAATAAATTAAATCCATTTACAGTCTAACAATTAAATCAATTTTATTAGTTGCAAAATGCAGATGCCATACAAATAAGTTAAATACATTGATGGAGGTGATGCTGGCTTAAGAGCCTTGATCATATTGAAACGCTTAAAGACTAAACACAAAAATATATAAAAATATATACTGGAATCCTGGAGATATTGCACCTAAAACCGACGATTCCCTTACATGGTGGACATGCGTGCATATCGAATGATTTGATCGTGATTCAGGGGGCTATCGGTGGATAGTTGGACCCGTTGCCATTGTCTGGTTTCGTTGGACTTCCGGATGGCCTCCACCACGGCCTGCACATAGAGACCATCCTCAAAGGTGGCGGCTGTGGAGACGGGTGCCTTTACCCACGAGGATTCCTTGCTGCCGAAGGCTTCTTTCAGAGCGCCAACCATTTTGCAGAGTCCTTTGATATAGGGACGTGGCAGCAAGGAGTTGTTAGTGGCAAAGTGCAAATCCTGAACATCCACGTAGACAGCCTCTTCTTTGGGTTGGCCCTCCTTGAGGACAAAGAGGTCACCGCCACGCACCACAAGGTGACCCTTGCTGCCATAGATGAGCACCTCCTGGGAGAAGGCTTTCGCAGGCACTGTGTGACTGTGGAGGGCTACAGTGACCAGCGTTCCGGTGGCCAGTTCCATTTGAAAGTTGCAGAAATCCGGAGCCGTGATTTGTCGTATGCCATTGATGGCCGGCGTGGTTTTGGTATAGGATCGCAGGACTCCATGCACTCGGATGGCCTGCTGTTGCAGCAGAAACGTGACCAAATCCACCACAGAACCCACAAGATTTAGGGCTCCACCGCCCATTTGGGCATCACACATCCAATTGTATTTCTCGGGGAAGAGGGTGCCCATTTGGACGCGCACATCCATGAGAACCACATCGCCAATGGACCCGATGAGCCCCTCCTGTAGACATCTTCGCATGTGCGTAAAGGCGGGCAGAAATCGCAGAGGATGATTGACCAGGGAAATCAAAGTGGGGTAATACTGTGAGGCCCGCACCATTTTGAGGGCATCCTGCTGGTGCAAGCCCGCTGGCTTGTCGCACACCACATGTTTGCCAATGCCCAGCGCCTTTACCGAGATCTCCGCGTGCAGAAATGGCTGGCAAACGATGAAAACCAGATCCACATCCTTTCGCAGCAGGACATCGTCGATGACGTTCGTATGGAATTGCACATTCTGCGTGGCCGCCGTCTCTTTGGCCTCCTTCAGGGTCCTGCCCCAAATGGCCCGCACCTCGAATCCCTTCTCCCGCAGCAGTGGAACCAAGACATTGGCTATCTCTCCGGTCCCGAAGACTCCAACTCCCGGTAGCATCGCTTAAATAGTTTGAAAACTCCAAATTTTAAGCGAAAATCGTAATGTTTTTATTTGGTGGCCGAACAGAGTTGCCACATCAACCAAATTGTGGGCGTTAACAGCTGGCTGGAGGTGGAACTTTGTAAGCGATATATCGGAACGTGAACGGGCATATACATTATTATTTGTTATTATATCTGGCAATAACATTTTGGCTCAGTTTAATTGTTTTTTATTGACTAACAAGAATATTTTGCGGCGATATTTTGTTTCGTCTTACTGCAAAGAATCCAGAATTCTTCACTGTCAATAATTTTGAGAACAGATACTCTTTTGGGACTAGGTGGCAAGATTGATCGAAGTCTACCATGTGGTGGAATAAAATGCAGTGTTGAATAAATCCCAATATTAACGCGCAATATTTTAAAATATAGCCGTTACAAATATTTGAATTTAACAAATGAAACACTAAACCATAACCCTAATGTTTAATAAAAAATGTAAATCGTAGCAATCGAAAAGAAATTCAACCTATCCAAAATCTGTTTCGAATCAGAATAAAGGACAAACACATACCCGATGAATTCGATTGCCCAGTGGCTGACCTCTTTTTCAGTTGGATTTTTAGCATCCGCGCAGGCGATTCGCTTTTTCAAGACGGTCAACGAGGAGGAGTCGCCTGCATGGATTTCTAGCCAGCAGGAAACGGCGGCAATCGATGGATTGTTCACAGAGGAACCGAAGATCCTGGGATCCGAACAGATCAGCAGTGTCCTGCAGCACATTTTCAGCAGTGAGCGGAAGTCCTGCCACGTTTACATAGATGCAATGCACAACCGCAGTGTCCACAAACAGGAATACACATTGGGTTCCGAATCCCTCAATAGAATGCTGGAGGACATCATGGACCCCATCGGAAATGGAAACTGCAGGTCCTTGGCCATGGAGCCTGCCGTTGAAGTATAAGGTTTAAGATTTACCTCTCCGGCTAATAAATTTAAGTTGACTAATTGATTTTATTATAAATTTGTTCTGATTTAAGAATCCCTAAATATTTGTAGTTGGTCTTAAACCACATATGTCTCTGATACCAAGTTAACAACTTTAAAAATTTAAAAGATATACCTTAGTTTTTACATTTTTTTCTGAGATGGTCTCAATGGTTTGTGATTATATAGTTTGGGAGAAGGATTTTATTCAATTGTATATATATGTGTGTCTGGAAAAGTGGGATTCAGTAATATTGACTTTCAATGTAGGATTACTGATAAAGTAATCTTTCTAAATTAACCTGACTTTTAAAGGCCAGACTGCTGTCCACTCTATTAACTAAGTCGGATTCCGTTTGGGTTCCATTTCGAGTGTGGTCTACGCCAGTAAACCATCTCACTATGCCCTTTCACCCCCTTTCACCCCTTTTCGACCCTTTGAGCCATGTGTGGTATTGCAGCTGTCAAAGCAGCCGGCATGCGGAAAATGATTCTGCAGCTTATTACAAGCTGGCAACTGCGAATGCAAACGCTCAGTGGAGTGAAGGACTTACTGACGACCAGGCTTATGGTACACTTAGAAAATAACTTAATTTTATAAGAAAAAATCATTTGCTAGAGCCAGTTAATTTTAAAAATTTCAATTTGAAACAATCCATAGTTCAAATTTTTCAATTTATGTAAACTGCATTGGTTACAGACATATGACCTTTTAAAAATTTTCCAAAAGCTTTTATTTTCGATGATTCTTATGATTTGGAAACTGTTTAAAAATTATTTTAATTTATCTAAGTTTATATACTTTCCTTTTATTTTTAAGTTGTTTCTTTTGAATGTTTAATAATTTTTACTATATTACTTATTATTTAATATAACTGATTTCAATATACTTCCGTTAAAAAAAGCACCATTGCGGCATGAAAATTCCAGTGTTCTAAAGAATTTGCGTTGTGACTGGCGAAAACGTGAAGCCTGCTGGCCAAATCCTTTAAATATCATAAGTATTTTGTTATTTTTTTCTAGTTTTATTCAGAGTGTAGGCCAACACCAGCCATTTGTATGAGTTGTTGTGTGTTTGTGTTTGTCCGGGCGAAGGATGTGGGCGGACATAATGCAAGCATTGGCAAGCCATGGCAAACAAATGTCACAGTCGACGCATTGCCCTGTCATATGGTAACCCAATTAGTGTAATTTGGTTTAAGGCAGCTGCCGCCTGTCTGCCATCTCCCCGCACTCTGCACACTCCCCGCACTACCCACATCCCATATAAACTAGTAGTATAGTGTGTGTGTAAGCCCCATTCTTGGGCTTTAATTAAACCACAAAGTGCACAGCAGCACTGATGGCAAACAATCAACTTTAAAGCAAACCCAGCGGCTCAAGCAAACAGCTAATGAATGTTGCTCCCTGTGACCTCAGGGCATATTGCCACTAAGTTATGCCGCCAACAAAGGTGCAATCGGAGGGGGTTTCCCTGAAAAGGGAAATCGCGGATCGGGGGAAAACTTACTCCAGGCAAAGTTATTAAGACAGCCATGGTGTTAGTTACAATATGGAATGGGTTCAATGGGAGGATTCTTTGTTTAAACCATCGTTGCCATTAAAAAAAAAAAAAACAAAATATATTGTAATTTTATAATCATTATAAACATTCGTCGCTTCGATGTTAATTCATTTTATTTGTATTTATATTTCATGTGACTATTTTCGGAACACATTTTAATCTATACAAAAGGGACCCAATTTAAAATGTTATATTTTCCACATTAATTCAAATATTTTACTATTAAATCATTAAATACTTAATTTAATATGATTTTAAATTTCATGAAAATATGAATTATAAAAGATTGGATTCATTAGCCAGAAATTTAGTTTTATATTCCATTTTGATTTGTGTAGAAATCATTTGATTATAATTGAAACTGTCTCAATTTAAAGTGAAATGTTCTTTAAAATGTTTTACAAATTCCCTTAGAGCTAAATTCAAACTTAAATATCTCCTAACTGGGTACATAAAACAAATTAAACCTAATTAAATTGATTTTCAATTTCAATTTCGACACCCTAGATTCAAGCATCTACAGCAGCAAGAAAACAATTAATGGACTTAAGTAGCTGCCGCAAACTAGCTTTCTCTAAACCAATTAAAATTTATCAGGAACATCACCCAAGTGGCCAAAACCCCACAGACACAAAATTCCTAATTGAATTCTGAATGTTAACGACAATATTGATCACCATGGCTGATCCCGGCTTAGTTTATCTCAGACTTTGTCCGACCGCATGACTCTTGAGGGTAACCTTTCTCTGCAAAACCGGACATTAATCACATTTAAGCCAGATTAATACTAAATGCAGGGGCAGGACGACAGCGAAAACCGAAAATGTCTGCAATTGGAGGCAGGACAACTAAACATTTAATAAGCCAAACAAGCGAACGTCGACGTAGTTTGTACGTGACCTCATCTTGAGGTCTGGAAACCGAAACCCCAAGAACGAGTCAGTCTGGAGCTGGGACTGCGACTGCGAATGGAACTCGAATGAATCAGACCGCACATAGATCTCTGTCAGAGGCATTAGCATTAGCAGCGAAACAGGACGAGCGGCGTAGCCAAAGATAGTTCATCAAAACTGACAAGCCCATTTCGCTGCTGGGAGTCACAGCCCGCCTTCTCTCCTTAGCTATGCTCTACACTTGCCAAATAAAACTATAGATAGTATTTAAAAAATGTTACAATTAAGACAAACTTCTCGTACATTTATATTTTGTATTATTATTTAAACATTCCATTTATACATGACTTCAGCCTGCTGTTTTAAGTTTATGATTATTTTTGTTCCTTTGCAATTATTAAATGACTGCATTATTATTACTTTATTATATTTTAAATTATTATTTCTAAAATACTACAAAAGAACTCTCTATATATACAATTTTAAAACTAGTTTGGCCTTGGCAAATATTTAATGAAAGTTTTAAAATTTTTTCTAAAATAAAACCAAATAAATCTTTATATAAACAATTTTAAAACTATCAGAATTTATTATTATTTATTTATTATTTATTATTTTTCCGTGTGCAGATGAGTTGGAAGCCATCTGTGAATATCCAGGACACATAACAAAACTGCAGGGGAAGCGGGCAGCTCATTCTCCACCTACTTCAGCCAGAGAACCGCAGCCAACAGATGAGAAATATTCATCAGCATTTACGTCACGCAGCGCGCAAAAGTCGCTGGGGAAAGCGGCAGGCAGAGAAATGGGGAAAAGGCGAAAGCAGCAGGACGAGATAGTGAGAGAGAGTACGAGAACGAGAGCAAGAACGAGACCGAGAACCTGGCACTGGATGTCAGTAGATTTATGTTGACATTTCAATGACAGTTGTGAAAATGCTCCAATTTTATGTGTATGTTTCCGTGGCTGTTGCCCGTCTGTCGCCTCTTTCATCTTAAATTTGCGCAAATTGGTTTATCGCAGCAGCTTAAATTATTTCCAATCACGTATCACTCACGAGTTGGGGAAAGTATATGTCGTAGCAGTCACGCGGATGTCACGATTCTGGCAGAAAAATCATAATGCTAGTCATTCATGAAGTAGCTAAAGATCTACTTTAAAGCAGTTGAAAAACTTTTATGGACTTTTTAGGAAAATCACAAGTTTAGTTTCTAGTCGCGGGTCATTCAAGTATTAAAAAAATACAAAGACAAAAAATTAATATTTATTGTGACTGCACAATTTTATTTTAAGAACGGGCTAAGCTTTTCCTCCTTTAAAGGTAATTTTAATTCAAAAATAAACAATGTGATTTGCCAGAAGTATGAGATGGTACTCGCTTCAATTAAATGAATTCATCACATAGTTTAAATAAACAGCACATTGCAAAAGTGCCGACTATCTAAAGCATTTCCTGAATTTCCCCCATCATTCTGCTGGCAGTCAAAGTACAAATTGTTTGCGTGCCAGCCGTCAATTTTTATTAACTTGATTAAGTGCTTTATGGCAGGCATTGGGGATTTTTGGTTATGCAACAAGTTATTAGCAACGCAATGGAAATATTTCACGTGGGTGGGGTGAAAAGTGCCCAGCAATATATATATATATATATAGTTTATATAACCAAGGGGATCCTGTGACAGCAGCTGGGAAGCCGCCTCCTCTGCAGCTGGTGTCAAGGAATAATATTTGCATTGTTGTAGCAGGAAGAGGGGATGACTTAAGTGGGCCTGGGGTGGATTGGCTGGCTGGTTTAGAAAGGCTTCAAGGAGGTGAAATCTGGGGGGTCGAGGTCCCCATATTCAGCATTTCAATAAGCCAAAGCTCAGCCTTGGATAAGGATGAGGATAGGTATAAGGAGCACAGGATGTACTCTGCTGACGGGGGAATTTTATTAAGCAAATAACACGCAGTTATGAAGACGTTTCCTTAATAGTTGGGTGCATGAAAATTTTTGAAGGTCCTAGGAATTTGAGTATTCAAACTTCAATTAATACTATTACTATTACTTTGGAAGGAATATAAAGCAAATAATTCAAATTTCTTTTATTATTATATATAATATATCTTATTCATGAATTAAATATTATATCAAAATATCTTAAAATTTTAGTAATTGTGTATATATATGTGTTTTGTCTTTTTTAAAAATGCCTTCCCTGTAAGAATAAAATCCAATTTTTAATACTTGCCTTCCAACTAGGCAAATTTGATTACATTTTGTAAAACAATTTTCTTCAAGACAGCAGCTCCATTAAATAATTAAGAGAGTTTAAAGGAGGAAGTGTACGGAAACCAATGTTTATGCCAAAATACAGTGTCTTCTGCTGGCAACTATAAAATTCCATTTACACAGGCTCACAAACATATCAAAACAAGAAATTTCGCAGTCGAATGAATTCCGGATTGTCTGGGGTAAATTCCATTAGCAGGGATCTCGTCCTGCATATGAAGTTGCCCTGCACAAATACCATCAAGTGCAGACAAAAACACGCATTTGCATTTGCATATATTTATATAACATATATATAAATAAAGCTGCACATAAAGCTGGTCACTTGCCTTAATTAAGCTTGAAGGTGGAGTTCGCTTTTCTGGAGCTGAATGAAGAGTCAGGATTCAATGCACTAATTGAAACAAATTTAAGGGAGATGCAAAATTACAAATATGGGCAAAAGAATAGAAAAAACAAGAAAGAAGGCAAACTTCGGCAAGCCGAAGTTCATATACCCTTGCAGCTATCGCAAGAATTAAATATTTTTGAAAACATTAAAATTATGATTTACTTGCGAATATGTTTAAAAACATTGAAGCTATGACGATGTGCAGCTTAATTATTTGATTGTTCTTTTATATATTTTTATTATTTGTATGGGAGCTATATGATATAGTCGTCCTATTTTGATGAAATTTAAACCATAATTCTGAAATATTTAACCATTGCTGTATGTCGAAGAACTAAAAAAAAATTAAAAAACAGCAAAGTTATAATTTTTTTTCAATTATTTTTCCGATTGTTCCTATGGGAGCTATATGCTATAGTCGTCCGATTTTGATGAAATTTTAACCATAATTCTGAAATATTTAACCATTGCAGTATGTCGAAGAACTAAACAAAAAATTAAAAAACAGCAAAGTTACAATTTTTTTCAATTATTTTTCCGATTGTTCCTATGGGAGCTATATGCTATAGTCGTCCGATTTTGATGAAATTTTAACCATAACTCTGAAATATTTAACCATTGCTCTATGTCGAAGAACAAAACAAAAAATTAAAAAACAGCAAAGTTATAATTTTTTTTCAATTATTTTTCCGATTGTTCCTATGGGAGCTATATGCTATAGTCGTCCGATCCGGCTCGTTCCGACTTATATACTACCTGCAATAGAAAGACAACTTTTGGGAAAGTTTCATGCAGATAGCTTTAAAACTGAGAGACTAGTTTGCATATAAACGGACGGACAGACGGACAGACGGACAGACTGACAGACGGACAGACGGACGGACAGACGGACATGGCTAGATCGACTCTACTAGTGATGCTGATCAAGAATATATATACTTTATAGGGTCGATAACGTCTCCTTCACTGCGTTGCAAACTTCTGACTGAAATTATAATACCCTCTGCAAGGGTATAATAATTCTAATCAGCAATATTTTGTAAAGATAAATTTAAAAAAAAAATCAAAACTATATATATATATATATATTTTTTATATATTTATATTATTGGACGAACAATGAAGTAGAGCCAAAAAAAACTACCTTTAAATTTTTAATGAAATTAAATTTAGAAAAATAACCAATTATTGACATTACATTCTTTAAATTAATTTATGTATTATTTTATTACATTTTTATCATGGATTTTCAGTACATACATAGGTAATGTACATAAAAAATAAAAAAACTTTTTATGGATACTGTTATGCTAAATTTTTTTTGTTTTTGGAAATACTTTTTTTTTACCGCTTCTATAAATCCGTGCTTAATTTTGTCAAATTAATTTACATACAATTTAATAATTATAAAAAAGCTTTTCGGTTAACTTATTTATATATCTGTTTTTGGAACAACTATTAATTTGACCTCATATGTAAATCCGTGCTTATGTTTGCACGCACAAATACTTGACTGAATGTCACACAGGACAGAACTGACTGCCATTTAAAATGTGATTCACAAATGAAGATTCATGTTGTTATCCTCTCTCTTTCTCGACTCCTGCTGGACATAAATCAATGACACAAGCTGGACATCCTGACATTCGACTGTGGAAATGGAAATGCATTTCCCACCGCCGCTTTTCCAACTTTCCCAACATTTTCCATAAGGCAATTTGGTAAGCTCGTTAAATGATTTCAGCAGGCCCGTCTGGCAAATTGTGAGTTTTGCATTTAAAGTGCTTCATTGCCTTTCATTTGACATCATTGCCATTGCCATTGCCGATGTGACATGAGCATATTGTGTGTGCACAAGTTAAAACTCACTTAATTATCCCAATGACGCTGCACAAATTGCAATTACGCCTTGCACTCACCTGTTAACAATTAACCAACTTCGGTATAACACTAAGTTGGGCATTGTATTTTGTCTATAATACTTATTAAGGTTGCCATAAATTCAATTCAATGATTACTGATTAGAAACTGGATTAGTTAAAACAATTATCTGACTAAAATAGTTCATATTTGATTCAAATGCATTTTATGAATACAAAATTTAAAATTTTTGTTTTATTTTAAGCAAAATATTAAAATTGAGTAATTTCTGGAAAAATGACCAAGTGATCATATAAAATAATGAAACATTAAATAACCTTATTCCTACTTTTTAGAAATTATTTTATTTTAGAGTGTATGCTTTTATTTTATTTGCTGCGATTAACTTAGCTAGATAAAATTGTTTTCTTTAATTTTTATGAAGTTAGTAAAAACAAAAAATTCTTTTAGTTGTCTAATGTTGTATAAGTTTTATTCAATGTGGCACACAACACAGGGCAATATTAGTCATAAGTTGAAACCGGAGGAGGAGGTTAATCCAAGGTTATCAATCAACGTCTGCAATGTGGGAAAATGGCAACTTCCTGCTGTGAAAATATATTTGCAGGAGAATAACTCACTTAATCTCGACTAGACTTACGTTTTTCCCTGGTTTTTCACTTGTTATGTATTCCAACAAGATTGAGAGTGCCAAATTTCCTCGAGACGTTTCTGATGATTGCGCTGCCAATCGAGGACTTTTCCGCGGTTCGCTGACGCCAGACGCAATTGCTCGCGAATGGAGACATTTGGCAGCGGTTGACTCAGGTCGGGAAAATCCAAAAAATTTCCATTAAAATCAGCGCCAGAAGATATTTCATACAGGCCGTTGAAGTTTAAAGGGTTCAAAGTAGGATCTCTGTTACCGTTCTCTTTTATTTCTTCCATTTCGGAGTCATTTAGTTCCTGTAATATAATAAACAAATGATTTGTTTTGTGTTAAAAAAAAATGATAAAAAAAAACAAACCATAAACAAATTAGCCGGCAATATTTAAAATATTATGCAAAATACCGCAAGTGTTTTATAATTGTGTTCGTTTTTAAAACAACTCTGAAATTAAATTAGTCATATATTTTCTCAATTGTTCTGCTTAACAAAAACCTTTTCAGGCCATATTAACCGCTTTCAGCTTCCTAATTTTCAATGAAATTTGTATGCAGGTTTTTGCTTAACCAGAAACAAAGTCTAATAAAAAACAAATTCATTGTTCAAACCATGTACAATTTACATATTTAATTATTTATAAGTATTTAATAAGTCTGTATGAAAATCATGAAAATACAAGCCCATGAATATTAATTAAATTTATTATAAAAACAAAAAAGATGTAGGAAAAAGGCTTTATGAGTATTGTTTTGTTTGATTGAGATACTTAAATACATGATGTATATGCATTAAACAATGTATAGCAAAGGCTTATGGATTTAACGGTCTTTAAATTAAATAATAATAATTAATATGGAAATTGAGAACTAAAAATTCACAAATTCCATGTGAAAATGTTAAAAATATGTATACACACCCGAAGGCTCTTTAAATTTCCAGGATCAGATGCCCCCAGAAGCATTTTAAAGTTCTTCTTTATAACCATTAAGTCTTCTTTAAAATGGATATCCACATAGCGCTTCATTTTTGTCCCGAGTAAATTTCTTACAGACTTTTTCTCATTGAATTCTATTCTAGGCACGTCAGAACACAGGATTTTAAATGAAAAGCCTGCTGAGAGATTTAGATTAATAGGGGGGCGAACTCTTCTATGCAAAATGCATGTCCATCAATCCAAAACAAATTAGCAAGGTCCACTCATCCCGAGTGCAGCTAAAAGCCCCCCAAAAAAAACATCCTCGCAGCGAGGACCTCGATTATTTATGTACTAAATGCAGATAAAGTTTCGTTTTTAAGGCTTCGGGCCCGCACTTTTTGTATCCGGGAATCCGGATTCCGGACCTTTCCATGCACTTTGCTGGCGGACCGAAAAATAAAATTTATTTACAGTTTCCCCTGCCCGGAGGTTCCGGAAAAACGGAAGCCAAAAGGGGCCGAGTTTGGGGAAAACTCAGTCACGTTTTGTGCAAAATGGAAATGGTTCGGAATTTACGGCAAATACTCGCCAACAGCAAGTGTATAGTACTAAAAAAAAAAAAGAAGTGAAATGGGCGGGAAGCCCTAATCGTAGTGAAAGACTCTTTGCTCTATTATTTTCCATGCTCTTATTTTTTTGGGCGTAGTAGGCCTAATGAAATTTTCGTTTTATGGCAAGTGCAACCAGGTAAATTGCAGGTGAAAGCTTTTCCTGTCAGAGCCCGGGAATTTCGTTACGAAAATCTCATTTTTTCTGTGGGTCCTGTAATTTGAGTGGCAATGGTGCCCCCGAAATGGTAGGTTCTCCTGGTTCCATCATAAATAAACAAAAGGCTGTAAACCATCTGATATTCGAGCCGACCCAGTTTGTTGATGTTTCTCCGTGTGTTTTTACCTTTTCGAATTTTATTGCCGCCTCTGGTTTGTGTCTCTTGGATATTCCGTGCGTAAGTTTATTTGTCTTAAGGAAATAACACCGGAATGTTTCGGTGTTCAGATATGTCAAATTAAATAACGGTCAGCAAAAAGAAGGTATAAAACAAGAAACTTTATTATGGTCGCCGAGGACGGAAACTTTTATGGTTGGACTTTTAAATTTTTTAAATAAAACTGGTTTGGAGAGGTGGGAAAAGATTAAGTTGGCTCATATAAAAAGTTCAATATTTAAAACTATATAATTTAGTCAAAAAAATATTATAATGGTTTGTTATTAACCTTGATTTATTGATTTCTTGTTTAACAATAATAATTATTAATGTAAATACAAAATATATTTAAATATGCTTTATTTTGGCTGATTGATTGTAAACATCAAGTCACAGCTATTTTATTTGATACATTTTTATAACAAGTGACATTTTTTTGTTTCCAAGTCATTTAAATCTAGTCATATTTATATTTTTGGATAAATTCATATTCTAAAAGATTTTAATCAATACAACAAATATAAAATTAAATAGCACTAAATATTTTGCCATTTAAAATTTGATAGAATACAGCGTTGATTTACTAGATAGAGCATTGTCATCTTGAAATCCTATTATTTTTAACTCATTAAGTATGCCTTTTGTACCTGTTCCAAAAGTTTAGAACCTACAATTCCCACAGCAAAGCCACTGTTCCTGCCAACAATGAAAAGTTCAACTAACCATGACTTTGGGGCTGCAAAATGCCCCGGACAAGCTGTACACATTAAGTTTCAACTTTAACACAACACAAACACACTGACACTGACACAGGTGTGACCTAAGCTTTCCCCCCACTGCACCCATTACCCCCCTCAACCCCCAAAAACCCTAATGCACACCAAAAAACATACACCAAACCAGAGTCACCAACAAGTCTACAAAAATTGTTGCTCACTGCTGGTTTCTATTTTCCGCTTTTGTCGACGCTTTCCAACTTTTGCTGTCACTTCTTGTTGACATTTTTTTGTGGTTTTTTAGCTAGCATTTTAATTTCATACTTTATGTAGGGAGATTCAAGCTGTTCTATAATGAAGCCAGCTTCTTGTAGCGGCTAAGCTGGAAATTATGACAAAATGTTGAGCCAGCGGCGCATATTTAGGCCTTCCTCTAGAGCTTGGCAACTTCCACAAGGACACTTAAAAAAGTCGCAGACCAAAAACAAAAAGGATAACCACAAACTTGTATAAATAATATAAAACTAAATTTTCGTACTAAAAGTATAAAATTGGTATGTATGCTTTTTAAAAACAACAACAACAAACATAATTATAAATAATAATAAATATATTTTGAAAACATTGCAGTTGCTAATCTATTTAAAATTTTAAAACAAATATTTTTTTTTATAAATGATCTCAAGCTTTTGTAATTTTTGTCTTAAAATTCAAATAAATCTTATTGTTTTTTCAGTGCAATCACATTTATTCGTCGAGTGTAACACCCATCAAAAACCCCGTTCGCCACTCCAGAATTTTCCGCGTGCTGACAGCGGAAAATGTCACAAAATGTTGGCGGCGCTGACTTTTCTGCATGAGTCTGCTGTTTTATTTTATTTGAGGCATTTTCGGGAAGCCCGCTCAGACTATGACTATCGCATTCATATTTTTGGCCTTTTACGACTTTTCATAATCTTTATGGGCGAGGGTTGCCGGAGGGGGGCGTGGCTCAGCGCATTTTACAGCTCAAGGAGTTACGACGCTTATGAGTGCAATTTAAATTCAAAAGCCGCTTAAATTTATTTCGAGCTCTCGAGCTCCTGCCTGCACTCACTTAAGTCAATTTTTGTGTTGCAAATTTAACATTTATGACAAGCAATTTAACTTTTGCCTAATTGCGCGACATGCAAAATTGCAAGTTAACTTCTGGGGATTGTCTTGCCCCTTTTTTCCCTCCTATTTTTCCTTCAGGATCAGCAGGATGCCCGGAGTGGTGAGTCCTGATGGTTTATTAAATGTAACTTTTGCCTCCGTCGGAAGAGGCGGCGTAGGAAAGTTTATCCTCCAGCAACAGGATGTGGAGCTGGAGGAACTATCTGGAGGTTCAAAACCAACTGGGGGCAGAGCAACTAGAATGGCTCATTAGGATAGTGCTAGTGGAACTTATTGGATTAGTAGACTGCCTTGGGGCTGAAAGATGATGCTGTCACGGGATGCCATTCGCTGTGCATTTAAATGGCTGGGGAACTAATGGCATATCCCCGGAGATTTATAAAGGCAACAAAAAACTGAGCTCTAGAAGGGGAAAAAATGGAGACATGCGGCCTTGTTAGATTGGGAGGTCCTATTGCATTCATAAATGTGGCCTCAAAGTTATCCATCGGTGTTAGTTTATAAAATTATAATAAAGCTTTTCTCAAGAACGAAAGTGTTTAACATACTCTTTGTATTTGTCCATCATTGGAAATGGTTTGTTATTAAAAAACTAATATTGTCCAAATGTAAAGTCTTAAATGTAATATTGTAATATTTTTTATTTTAGCTTACTAAATAAAAAAAATGCATTTTTAAAATTAAATTTCTTAAGGTGCAATTTGCATATTCTAAAACTAAATAAAAAATGTTAAAAATAATTGTATAGATTGTTGAGAACAATATGAAGCAGACTTTGAATAATTTTGACGAATTTTTGGAAAAGGTTAATTTTTTCAAGAATACCTTTTTTGTTATTTATTTGTTTTCGAAAATTTCCACTTGAACACTTTTGCAACTAAAATTTGTTTTCTACCCTCTCGAACAAGTAATAACTTTTTTTAAACTTTTTATGCTTTATAAAAAATGTAAACTTCTAGATTAAGCTCAAAGGTTGGCTTAAAAGTTGCTGCAACTTAAAAAGCAACTTAAAACTCCCATCCCGGCTAATCTCATTGTTGAAACTTAAATTTGTCTATCCGCCAATTAGCTAAAAGCTGGATTTTCATTTCGCATGCAAGTAAAGATGTCACAGGGTCTTGGCTGGGAAAATGGGAAAAGATTTTTCCGGCTGCGTCGACAAGCAGCTTTCTCAAGTGCTCTAAGTGTTGAAGCGGATCGACAATTGTCTTAATTTCTCCCCGCGGTCTTCTTAGCGCTTCAAACTGTTTGAATCGAAAGGAAACTGAAGGATAAACACGCTAAAAAATGCTGCAGGAAAATCTTTTTGACTTAGCAAAAGGATTTGCATTACAAACTCCATTTGCAGTTGCATAAACTGATTTATTTAGCGACTTAACTTGTGCAGCGGTAAAATCCCTGCTCGCAAGTAAAAGCTTTAAAAGCATACAAGAAATTAGTTTTGATTGCTTTGAGTATGCACAAAGGATTAGGAACCATTTTCAGCTGAAGTGAAAAAAAAACGAACCATAAAATTTGTGTTTTTATTGGTAAATATTTTTCAATTGGCAGCTCGCAAAAGTTTTTTGGTTTGGTTGCATATCCGAAAAGCATTGAGATTTAATGAATGGCAAAATTGTTATCCAAACGGATTTCAGTTATTGAAATCGATTTTTATTGTTCTTTGAGATTTGGTTTAAAGATTTTAGAAAATATGAATACTAAATTCTTATATTAAAAAAAAATAAATTTGTTTAAATAGGTTGGTAACTTGTAACTTAAATTTAAATGCAAACATTTTCTCAAATTAAACCAAATTAAATATGTTTTTATAGTATAAATTGGATTACTTTAAGAACTCATAATTTAAATTACATTAAAATGCCATTTTTTGCCTGAAAATTATTTGTTAATAAAAGAAATACCAAGTAATGTAAACTAACTTTTAAAACTTAATGTTGACAACTTTGAGAAAGGTATTTAAATCTTCGTTAGATTCCGTCATTTTGTCCAGCATTTAGGCCAAATGAAGTTCAACATTTTCGCTAAGTTTTCCTTGTGGCGACATTTTCCCAGCCGCAACATGTTAGCGCAAGCCGAAGTTTTCCTGAAGTTTAAGTTTGTCTTGGGTCTGGTGCTCAAGTTGCTGAAGGGGCCATTCTGACCACAGCTAGACTTAGAGCCCACTCTGTGGCCATGTGGCACTTGCTCATCCGGCGAAAGTCCTGCGATCCAAAGGACCTCTGACCTCGGGCAGAAGTGGAGGAGTAATTTAAACGCAGACAGAGGACAAGACGTTTGCATGAGTTGGCAACTGTAGTTTAGCATTTT